TAATACAACAGAAAAGTAATATGCATGATACATTCACACGATTAATTCATGTTGTGTGATGCTTTAGCTGGTATAGTACTGTGAGACACCAAAAAGGAATTGTGACAACACTACTCACACAACAGTCAAGTTTTCTCTTTCAGGTCAACTATTGTCAGAGCAGATGATGCCAAAAGCATTAAACCAAACAACAGGTTACTATCAATGACAGTTAGAGAGAAGATTATAGTAGGTTATCATGCAAACTGTGGGATTAACTTGGTAACATTATGTCGCGCTGTTGAATCACATTTTAGTGGAACAAATCACCATAGCAACTTGTATTCTCAGGTTTAGCTCAGGTGAGCAATTATTCTCTCATTCTAAGCTTTTAAGCCGAGACCTTTGTTTAAACCTACAATACCGTGTCCAATACTTTACCGAACAAACCAGAGTGTAATCTTCAACCGACAGACCCTTAATATCAGCATCTGCTTTCCACTGATAACTTTAATCAATACACACTAGTAACCTTTTTGTTTGTTTTTATCTAGTGAACGGAAACTGGTTGTTGTTTGCGGTACAGTGGCAAGCAGGTGACCTAGTTTCACACTGAGAACGTGCTAAAAGAAAACACCCTTTCTTCAGAAAGTCTGCCACCGAAATTGAAACTTCATATACTTGAGCATACAAAACATTTTGGGCAATCTTCACAATGCTACCTAGCTGAAAGGAAACAGATGTCATGGTTTCCTTTCAAAGAGCAGTTAGTCTTTACTCCTACACACCAAAGTGACAGTTCAGTGGAGTATGGAAGGCTGTTTCCTAAAAAAAGATGGAGGCTCCGACAGACTCTTCCCCTCCCCCATCAGTTAAAATAAGGTAATGAGGGGGGGTGTTCGTTAACAACTGTTGATGCACCTGCTAGATAAGCCAAACACCTTCTCTATTGTTTGGAGGATCTTACATCAGACAGGAAGCAGGCTGATAAAAAAAGGCAGTAATCAAGTGCGATTTAGATCGAGCCGCAACAGCTCAGGCACAAAGGTTAAGGTTTGCATATTCATCACTAAATGGCGGTTGCCTTGACATTAATGCTAAATAATCTGGGGAGGTGATAGCATCTATGAATCAGGGATTGTGCTGAAAAGGCAGACAAAAGAATAACTAATGAGAATGCAGTTTTTTTCTTACTTTTTTTAGCTAGTCCACATTTTGTGATTCTTCTCTGTCCTTTACATTGTTGCGTGTCAGTTTGTACAATACAATCCTGATGAGTAGGGATGCACCGAAATTAAAAATCTGGGCTGAAACCGAAAATGCTTTTTAAAAATTATTTAAATTAATAATAATGATACTTTAAATTATATAATTTCTAAATTTTAAATGAGCTTTTTGGCAACACTTTTACTGAAAATGACACTAAAATTTGACGGAAAATATATTAATATTAACTATAAATGTATTATCCAGATTTATTTTTTGACCAACTATCCAAATAATTTATAGTCCAACAAAGCTATTATTATAGCATGTAAGGAGAGCGTAGCTCGGAGCCGGTCAGTGAACGAGAGGGTAGAATCATCCGTTGCCCAGCACGACTATATCACGCCATGTTACAGCACAGTAGGGCTATTGCAAACAGAGACAAGTCTACTATAGAGATATTTCATGTTGCACGTCATTTAGGCAGATTTTGCTTTTCCGATGAGCATGAGCGGTACATGAGTGGAGCGTACACATGGTCCTTGAGCAACTGAGCGACAATTAGAGTGGAATATTGAGCAGAGTGTCACACGGCTTAGTAATAACGGCTAGCGAGAGAGTGAAACCTGAGAGCTGAACACTGGGGGGCGCCATATATTTTTTGGTTCATATTTTAAGCCAAAACCCGAAAAAGCTAATCGTCCGTTAGTTGCAGCCCTAATCAAATCCCTATAACACATTTGCACAGACAGAGATCGACTAGTCCTACACTTCTTTGGAGTCCAACTGCTCCCATTAGTAGTCGCTACTCATTTGCATGAAGTTGACCTCTACTCAATGCGGTCACTTGTTCCCCCTGGAAATTGCCAGCTCTCATTGAAAATGAATGAAATCCGGTTGCGTTGGCACGGTGAATCGCTGTTAGTGTGAACCTCTCTTTTGGCAGATGTGTTGCATCTTGAGCTGTTTTTGACTCTCATGCCATGAGCCATGTTAAGACTGCATGTCAAATATAAAACTGTTAAAACACATCCCGATCGGTCACGTTGGACAACAGAACCCAAAACCAGCCAAATTATAGTTAAGTGGTAGCGGCGTGGACACTGTCAATGGAGAGACAGAAATCCTTCAGATTTCATTTAGAAGCATATCACAAGAAAAAAAAAATATATTTTTTCAAAATCAATTTGTGTTTTGAAGATGAACGAAAGTCTAACGGGTTTGGAACAACATGAGGGTGAGAAAATGATGACAGAATTTTCACTAACCATTGAACTAACCATTTAGCTCTATAATAAATACATCAGACTTGTATAAAAACACTACATTAATAGGTATTACAGGCCCATTTCATTACATTTTTGCAGTTCCTACAACACTTTTTTTTTTTACTTGAAAGCAGCACTTGGTTTACATTGTTTTGTTGATGTTTTCTTGTTAAGTGCCAGTTCTGGATTCAGCAATAAGCATTGTATCTGCGTTTTAATCATGTTAATGGGATACTCCACCCACAAATTTAAATTCTGTCATCATTTACTTAGCCTCAAGTTGTTGCAAATCTGTATGAGTTTCTTTCTTCTGCTGAAAACAAAGGAAGATTGACTACCATAGTAGAGAAAAAAATACTGTGGAAGTCAATGGTGCCAAAGTTTCAATCATTCTTCAAAATATCATCCTTTGTGTTCAGCTGAAGAAAGAAACTCATACAGGTTTGCAACAACCTAAAGGCGAGTAAATGATGACAGAATGACATTTTGGGTGGAGTATCCCTTTAAGTATTGTCACAATTCTCACTTAACAAACTGTGAAAGAAAGTAAATGAGGCTTTGTTTTTATAAAGGCAGTGAGTCTTAAAGCATCAACTAGGTGCCCTTTTCATGGTCAAACCTCTAAAGGATTAAACAGTTGAAACATCCCAGACACCGATAAGCCTAACTTTGTTTTGATTTCTAAAGCTGGTGCAGTAACCATGCAGGGTACTTTTTTGCCCAAAGCCAAAACATAGAAATTGAATATTGTTGAACAGCCCAAATCCTGAAATTGTGGACATTGATTACAAGATGGATGCAGGCTACAATAAAGCAAACTCCTCTGGCTCCAATCCTACGCTGCACATTCACAACTCGAAACAGATGCATAATCTTTGCTTTGAAAGCACAAAGCTTGACTTTCATTACTTTTCAGATATTTTCAGATAAACGTCTGAGAACCACATGACAAATATGTCCAAAAATGGGTATGATACTACGCAAAAGCCTTGTGAATCATCCACACTGCCAGTCCAAAAGTATTTTTTCTTAGTCCATCATGTTGTAAAAGTCCTGAAACAAATACAGAAGTTAAGAGGCTTATTAGAGGCCTCTTTTTTCATCCGTTCTCCAACAGCTTAGAGACAAACCAATCTCCACCTCAAGACTAGCCACTCTCATAGCATTTATTGCGGTTCAACATAGAATTTAGTGATTTCATAATGAACCATAATAAGACCAAAAGAATAAACCATTACACTTCCAAACTTGCTTTAGCGTACATTGGTTGAACTTATTTGAGTCCATCCTGCTCAGAATGCAGTTCAGAATGCAGCTTGGTTTTGAAAGTGCTCAAACTCATGCACCTTGATCCCTAAAACAATACACCCTGTTGAAGAGGAATTACCCAGAGAATAGTCAACAGACAACTGCAACTCTTGTGAAGGGTTTAGGGGGAAGGGGTGGTCCTGACTTGAAGGGGTCCTGATTTGACAGGTTGGACTGACACTACCAGACTAAATTACAGGTTTAAAAAAAAAAATCAGCTTTAAAAAAGGCAGTCAAAACTGCTGACCCTTAAGTGAAAAGCACTCAGTTAGCTCAAGAACTCGCATTAATAAGCATAATTATTTCTCAAACTATACATGGCAAGCTCCAAAATCATATTGTTAAGGAAACGCATACCAAGTAGAAGATTTCTGAAACAATATAAATAAACAGTAATTAACGATGCACAAATAGCCCAGACATATCTTCATGATGATTCCATACCGTTTTCAACACTAAAATCAATATTTTTAAAAGCTAAATTTGAGAAAAATTTATGTTTGACTGAATAGCTTTTGTAACTTTAACAATTAGTCATCTTTATTTAATTTATACAGTGAAGATTATATGCAATATTGTTTTACATTTGATTACTTTATTTAATTTCTGTACCTGAAAACTACTGTTAGATATCTAAATAACCTGAAAATCACTGTTTAAATATTACTTAAGATTTAAAATAAATACTGAAAACTGAAATCAGTTGTTTAAATGTTACTTTAAATAAGTCAATTAAATGATCAAGTAAAAATAAAATATAGAACATTTAGAAAATGTATATTTTATTAAATTTGATTTTGTTATTAAATAATTTTGAGATTTGCTAATGATTATTATCATTAAATTATTATTGTTTTTAAAGACTGAGTTTAAATGAGCGTTAAATGACGGCAAAGATAATCTAAATGTTAGAAAGTGGAAATATCAACTGGTACTGTTTATAAATTAAACAGCAAAGTACATGGCACCGTATACTGTGTTACAACTGCTATACTGCTATAACTGTATAGTATATGGTACAATATCGCTGTGCTCAACTAAATGACTTTTCCACAAACAGTGGAGACATTTCGGTTATTTTAGACATGAAATATAGGAATCACTGTCAGAGTTAACCTTCAGGCATCCCATGATTCAATTACAGCTCGTCAATGATCCTGAGACCACGTGTGTGCGGGACTCAAGGTGCCTTGTTGTTGACCAAAAAGTAAAGAACAAGAAAGCTATTTCTTGGCTTACCATGTGATCAGTTCTTGCTCCGATGTGAACCTAGCAGCGGAGGAGTCTCTACAGTCTGGACAGAAAGAAAACACAGAACACAAACTGTTAACTTGGTGAAATGAGGGGTCAATAAATAAATCATGTTTTGATTTTAACCAATAAATTTTTTTCTCTTCCATGTTTTTTTTTCTTCCCCCAAATGCAGAAGATACAATAAAAACAATGCTATTTCAATATCTGTGGGTACATCATCCCATCAACAATAATGCTGTAAAAAATAATAAATAAATAAAAGACCACAGATCAGAAATGACCCACACGTGTAAGCAGGAAAAAAGCACATTAATTCCGATATTCTCGGATCAGTTTCAGGCCTCATTCATGTGGAAGTAAATTGGATGTGAATCAGATACATGCATTTGCGTCTACCATATACCATATAAAAAAACAAATCCGATAGTCAACAAATCTGAACTGGACATAAAGACCTACAGTGTAAATGCGGCCTTAGATATCTGTGACGAACAAAAATCTGTCTGCATGCTAGAAGTGCATTGGTAATTTTCACATCCTGCAATTCTTCTTCGATCTGGAAGTTGTTTGAAAAATGAAGGCATAGCAAATCTTTGCAAAAACAACCTCTATTCCTAATTCCTTGCCATTTGTTGACATGCTGTGCACAATTTTTGTGAGACTTCAGGGGCGGCCCCTGATGTATAAACGTTGCGTACGCACAAAATGGGCATAGAAATATGCGTACGCATTTTTCCACACACATATCGGGATTTATAAAAAAATAAACTTGGTGTAAATAAGTGCGCACCGTAAGTGTCACTCTTTTACAAGAGTATGTGTTTTGGCGACACTGATGGTGAGCTGGAGTTAAATGTATTTTTGGTCACTATTAGACAGAGAATCTAAAGAAAATTATACATCTACAGAAATATAATTAAAAATATAATTTCACAAACCTATCATCACTTGAAGCAAACATCCATCCCTTCTTAAATGTCTGCGCCATGAGCGCGTTGGGCCGTTTAGTGAAACTGACGCACATATAGCCTATAATCTAACGGCAGATGAAGTAAAACCGTAAATCTTTATTATGAGTCCAATCATAAATACAGTACATGTTCACAATAACAGTTTAAATAAATAAAAGAACGATTTAAACTATATTTTACTTCTGATATAAACATTTAGATGAAATATGCACTTAAGTTAAACACTTAAACTACCCTACATGAAATCATTACTGAGAAGTTGCAAAAAATGTAGGCTATATTCAATAGAAATAGATCTATTTGTTGTGGATGCAATGCTTTTGAACATTTTTTCCTCTGGCATGCTGTGTTTAAATGTTTTAACTGATAGCTAATAGCAGATTGTCTGAAAAAAAAAAATGGTTTCGTGCAAATAATGCACAACAAGATCTATCTGTTTCCATTAAAATGTAAATCAATTTAAAAATACTATTTGGCCAGTGGAAAAGATTGAGAAAATCTTTCTCTGAAATGTATTTAACACTATTTGATTTATTTATTCAAAAACAAGGCTACTAAAAAAATAGGCTACTAAAAAATATATATATGTTTGTAATAATGTGACGGCACATCCGCATTTCATATTTAACTAACGTCTTACCGTTAAACATGGTATCACGTGGATGAATAATCATATGCAAATGATATGCGGATGAGGATATGCATAGTAAAACTAGGCGTTGTAATCTCCATATATGGTTATTTCGGGGAGGAGACGCAAGTGCGCGCATTCTTCCGCTGACTGAATTTTGCACAGGTTCTGGCGTACGTATGGTTTTATAAATCTGAAAACTTTTGTTCGTACGCAAATTCTGCCTTATGTGCGTACGCACACTTTAAGGAAGAAATCTGCGCAAAGTTTTATACATGAGGCCCCAGGACCGCAGCTTCAGAAAAACAACCCTGAATTTAATACAGAACCTATGATTAGTTGAGAAAAATGTGCAACGACGGCAAAAAAAGATAAAGGCCCAGTTCACCTCATGTATTTTTCTGTATTGTAATTTTTGAACAGATACATTTTTTTTTCTGAATTACTACCAGGTGTGAGTTGTGCTAAAAAAAAATAATAAAAAAAATCTTAGTCACCTCTTCTCTGACAAGTATTTCACAGCTGACATAAAAAAAATCCTATTCAGTGATTTTTTACAGTGTTTCTGTGTTGACTAATCTTGTGCGATGTCCTAACAGCCGGGATTGGCACACAACGTATCCACGTCCGCTAATGTCCAATTCACTACCTAATGACTCCTTTTCACCATTCATTAAAATGAATCGGTTCAAACAACTGATCTGTCCAACACTGAACTCACGAGAAGTCGCGGTTTGGTGCGTAACAAATCATTTACTCACCTTTCTCATTTCAGAGGTGTTCTAAGTAGTGTTGTCAAAAAACTCGGTACTTCGGTACCAAGTCGGTACTAAAAAAAAAAAAATGTTACGGTACCAGCTTTTCTAGGTACCGAGTACCAGGTTAATCCAGTTCTGTTCTAGACGCGATGTCTGAAACGTGCACAGTTGCGTCCTCTTTATAACGCTGATATGGCTCTCTCTCTCTGAATCCACTTGTTGAAACGAAAGGAGGAAAGAGCCACATATGGAAATATTTTGGATTAGGCTAATGTCACGTTGCCATAAGAGGCCGATTACATGCAAATTCGCAATTTCAAATATAGGCGTGATTCAAGCGCGCTCATAATAAAAACTCGCTGGCGTTGCATAGCAACGACAGACGCCGCGTGAGAGCAAGCGCTTTGGAAAGAATAAGCACGCGCAAAAATATAATTAAAAAACACGCGCGACATGTGAACGGCCTCTAAAGTGCTTTCGGGGTAGTTTTACTAGTACATGAGCACAGTAGTATCCACCCGACACCAGAGTACTACTGGTATTAGTATTGTCATTTAATGTCAGTGTCAGTTCTAGACGTATTCTTGCCTTTATAACTCAACAGGTTTAAAAAGCCTTTTTAAAATTAAATATGAATGCAGTTTTAGATTAAATAAAAAGGACAGTCAAGTCAAATAAAACATGTTTTATGGTAATGCTACAAAGGTACAATTCATCAACATTACTTAGTTATCAACACATTGAGTGAAAAATATATTTTTACAACATTAATTAATGTTTGAAAATGTTATTTATTACAAACACCTGATTGTTCATGTTTGTTCACTTCATTCATTGTGCATTAAATAAATAATGGATTAAAACTTTACAAACAACTTTAAAAATGTGTTAGTGTATACTATTGTTTATTTTAGGTCATTTTATCTAATCTTTTTCTAAAGTGTTTATAATACAAATGTACAGTTTCCATACTTGTAACCGTGATAAACACTTAAATATATGTAAATTTAAACTAAGCTTTGGTACCGAAATTGGTACCGAGAACCGTGAATTTTAACTGGTATTGGTACCGAATACTGAAATTTTGGTACCGTGACAACACTAGTTCTAAGTATGCTTACCCCATTTAGCAAAAGTAGTCAGTCAGATTTAGCCTTAAAAATCCACAGTATTTTCAGGTTATTTATATTGACAATGTGTAGTAAATTAAATTACCCATAAAAATAATTTAGTTTAGACTGGATTGAGGTGAAAACAGAAAGCACACAGCAAGTTGTCGTTAGCTAGCTGCTAATTTTATTATATTGTATATGGTAGAAAATTAGCCTATTATTTAAAATAAAATTTAATATTGACATTATAATATACCAAAATAATTATCAGGCTTAGCAAAGAAGGATCTTAAAAAGCTATAAAACCATTGAAAAAAGCAGCTTTTTTTTTGCAAAGAGGGCAAGAAAGGATGACAGTGATGATGACAGGTAATGTGCGTCTGATAACTATAACCTACAACAGCCACAGTCCGGAAGAAAAGGGGGTCGAAAAAAATAATAATAATAATAATAATTAGCAATCATGAGTAGGCTAAACAATGAGGAACAAAAGAAACACACCATGGTTTTTGGACAAAATGGCGTACATATTTTTATCATGGAAAATGACGTCATAGGTTGCGATCGCATCGTCATAAGCTAAGGAATCGGAGGGAAAAAATAATTTTGTTGATAGGCCTTGCGATTCAAAAGATATTAACATCATTTGAGTAAAACTTTGGACAGGTGGTGGCACTAGAGGCAATGAGTTAGAGAGACACCAAAATTGGTGTATTTAATGTTGGGACTGTTCTATATCAGAATGTCGAACCAAAAAAAAAAAATTTTCCCGTAAACGGTTCGTTAGGCTGCCATAGACGCCCTGTCAGAAGAAGCAGCAGCAAGAGAAATGGAAGAATAATAAGAAGAACGGGAACAATAAGTGCACATTTAATGCTGGGCCCCTAATAATCAAACTATAAGCAACAGCAGAAAAATACAAAGAGCAAAAATTTAAATAAAATAAACAGTGCTTTTCAAATTATTTAAGCATTTAAAAGTAGTTTTAAGGTACAGAAATTAAATACAGTAATCAAATGTAAAATAACACTGTATATAACGTTCACTGTATTAAATAAAGATTAATCATTAAAGTTACAAAAGCTATTCAGTCAAGAGCATTGAGTGATTTCCACATCTTTTGTTGTACTGAAAAAATATTATTAGACAATATTTTTATTATTATCATTATAACATTAAACATTCTCATACTCAAATCGTGTTCTTCTAATTATTCTGAGGTAAATCCAAGGTAAACAGCACAGCACAATGAAAAGCAGAGCAAGGCTGAACTCGCGGATTCTTTATTTAAAGGTGATAAGGGCGTTTGCGTTCCTACACGTGGATCATTTGAATTTGAACAGCTTGTGCGTGTGTGGGTTAGTGCTAATCAACACAAGCTGAAGAAACTGTGTTGGTTTCATACGAATTACTTAAACAGAGAGTATTTGTTTAATATTAGAATTACACCGGCGTGATTGCCAACCCCAGTGGGTTAAAAAAGGCATTGCTATCTCAAAAAACATCAAAGACAGAAAACAATTTTTGGCAAAATATAGGAAGTTGTGTGTGGAGTAATGAATCACAATGAAACACAAGTTGCATGGTGATGCTCCAGAGTGCTCCGAA